TTTTTTTTGTCTTTTTATAATCTTTGACACATTTTCTTGGCGTTTGCTTCAACTTTCATTGCCTGCAGATGTAGAAACTGATTGAACTGCCCAACACGTGAAAACAGCACCGACACGTTGACCTTTGACAGCGACATGGAGCTTCTATCATGTTACAGCAGTCCAAAACGATAAACTCAGATAAAAACTTGTGACAGTGCCTTTCAAACATTGCCCTTTGAACAACACAGTGAATGTGGACACTGACATGTTTTCATGTTTTCCATGAAAAAAATATAATAATTATACCTTAAAAGGTCAGGGTTAGTTTGAATTGTTAGAAACCATATAAACTCTCAATATGACTAAGACTGACACGTAAACATAATGTTGGATTTAATATTTTATACCTTTTTATAATTCCTATCAAGCACTCAAATGTCATGTCATATAAAGTGTGTGTGTGTCTTTCTTCCAGGGTTGAACTATGTTTATAGAAAATGTTTGCTAATTCTAACTAGTTGACCTTTAAATATAATCTCATAGTAGCTACAGATAATTTTACAAGTTCACATTTGATAAATTACAAGCAATCAAATCAGGCCAGAAAGCAGACTGATTAACATAAATAAAGTAGAACACAGCTCTTTAATTTAGACAATATAGTTTGACTAAGTAAAATCAAATTAAAAGTATAACCATGATCCAAATAAAAACACGAACATAAGTTAGATAATATAATTATTCCTAGAAATAAACAACTATTTCAAATCAGTGTTATCACTAAGGTATAATCACGTTAAACAAACAGTGTTAACAGTTTTAAACGCAGACACAGAAACTAAGATGAATCTGCCTTAAAAACAGAATCACCAGGCCTTCAACAGATATTGAATTAACACCCATGAGGTAGGTAATAATTAATAGTTGTTAATTATTACGTATAAACAATTTAGACACGAATCATTTTGTATCCCTAAAAGTATAGCAAGTTAAACTTTAAACAAAAGCCGATTTCGGTGTACCAAAATCTTATCTGGAATATAGACGTTAACGTCCTTGAGCGGGCGGACTAAATCGTAACCATAGCGACAGAAGCTGAACCAATCAGGAAGCTAGCCTTCTCAAACGGGGATAAAAGGCCGGGAATGACGCACGCGCACCGAGCATTTTCCGGGAGGCGCACACGAGGCGGTTCGTTCTTAATGCTCCATTTATATGCATATATCTTATTAATGTAATTGTTTGTCTCTGAATATCTGTAACCCATGTTGTGTCAAATAAATCTTTTATACGAAGGGCGACGCCTCCGCCGTTTTGAACACGACGTGGTATTCTAGCCACAACAAAAACCAACAAACCCAGCTATATTAAAGAAAATCCCCTGTTTCTGTTTACACACATGCACAATTAAAAAGGCAGTTAGTGCAAATATTTGCTAGTTTTAGCTTTAACTTGTATCAAGTTTCTATCGAGCAGGACTAACTTCTTAGAAGACATTGCGTTGGACTTTCAAGAACATTTGCCAACTGGTTTGGCCCGTCTTTATCAACATCAAACAGCACACGATGTCAAAGTATGAGCTCACAAGTCCTGATACGACAGTGACATTCTGATCCAGCTGCCAGGAGTCTTATGATTGAGAGCTAAACAAAGAGAGACAGTGTCATGAAAATCACACACGCGCACGCACACACAGAGTACATGCTGTATAGACGCCGAAATAATGCAACAAACTCAAATGTGGGTCGCTGTAAGTGCAAGTTCTTTTGAAACCAAGTTTGAACGGCACATTCAGTAAATTGCGTTGACTTTTGTACATTTTATACTTTTCAATATATTTTACTATACTTACAAATAAATTCCTTCTAGAAATGCACTGAAACGCTTTAATTTATTAAAAAAACATTGCTCCCCCTGCTTTAGCATACTTGCCTTCTTTAACTTACAGCTGGTCTTTTGCTACTTTTGGCTAGCTGGTTGCTACATTTAGCTTTTAGCTAGTGTTTTGATTATTTTAACAAACTTTAGCAAAATCATTCAGCACAATTTCTCAGGTTGTTTTTCTTTTTAATTTGTGATCTTGACACATTCATTTCTATTTATTTACCGGTATTTATTTTATTTTTTTACTATTTGAACGACTCTTTAGTGTCACAACATATCAGCTACAACTCACTGCTATCAAGTTTAACAAGTAATTTTTAATATATGACTCAACAACAAAGCAGGAGATTTATTTTTTTAAATCACCGAGAAAGACAAGAACCAATCAAAATGAGCCTATTTGAACAAGATTACATAAAATGTTAGTAGACATTGCATCATTTCAAGGGGTTTAAAGGTAAAACAGTTTAATAATAAAAGTTACTATCTGCAATAAACCACTTATGACTGCGTGCACACGGAGAAGACCAGGCTGGTGCATGCTGGTGAAAACCAAATGAAGTGAATTTAAAACATTAGGTGGTAATCCAAAAGTGGGTCAAATGAAAATAACTGGTCTCAGATGATGGAAAAAAGAAACAAAAAGCTATTAAATATGGATTTTTTTCTTTCATGTGTGGACTGTGAAACTGGCTGAATAAAAGGCACGCCTTTGGAAAAAATGTCATACATTTTTTAAATAAAATTAAAAATCGATATCACTTAATTGTGGGTTTCCCTCGCAGCTGTCAACTGTGGGGGGGGAGATTTGTCGCCCTCGTTAAAGGATTAGCTCAAGTTACGTCTTGGTGTTGTCAAAGCCATTGTTAGGTGCTGAAACATGAAGCAGCAGGTTATTTATTAAATTAAAAAAAAAAGGCTCTCAAGTGCTACAAAAACAATATACTATATGCATTAAATTATTATAATTCATATAAAAATATATATTTTATTATTTTAATGGTGGCTTATTCAATAAAAAGTAGTGAAAATATAAAACCAAAAAAAAAAAATGTTGCACTTTTAGCATGTTGTGATATATTTTAGATTAATCCAAAGTCAAAACATGTGTTTATGTCTCAATATTAGAAAAACATTCTCAAATATTGTAAATAAATAGCCTAGCTAATTACTTTTTAAAGAAACAATAAAAAAAAAAAATCGGTATAAATGGAGCTTCCAATTTTTCTCCTAAAGATTCACAAAGATACAAACTCCTAATTTTAAAGTGTGGTATACACTATTAAGTGTTTGAAGTGGAAAACGATTATTGTGCCAAATAATTAACTTAGCTTTTTTTCTGGGCATACAAAAGTGTTGTTTGTGCAAACTCCTTTAGTTTAACTAAAGCATTTTAAACGGAGATGTGTGTTGCTTCTTGTTTGTCACCAAAAACACACATTTTGACACTTAGTTTTTAAAGAGATAAATAAAAGCAGAAAACAGACAGAATATATTAAAAAATGAAGGGCAGCTACTTCCTCCTATGATCAATCGACTTGACAGTGACAGATCTACTTTTCTTAAGAGCTAAGTTTAGCTACTCTCCTGTCTGGCACACTATCAAAGACAGATTGTATTATACTTCAAATTCCCTGTAGAGCTGTACTTCCTGTAAAAAAAACAGCATATTTTTAATTTCAGATGCACACATCATCAAGCAACGGTTGCCTTTTAATTATTTATTTGTTAATTATTTAATCGTGTTCTGTATGAAAGAGGAAGCGTCTTAGCAAAGTTTCAGTTCAAGACAAATTGCCTGTCAGCTGCCCGGCCCATTAAATATTTATATGATGACCTCATGCTTTGTGGCAAACTGAACTAGAGGAACAGGGTGGCCAAAATATAGGTCAAAATAAATTTTTTAATGACCCATTTTAAATCGATATAAAAACTAATTAATTACTACTATCTTCTTACTGTTGCATGGGTATAATACTCATTAATGTGTAACTAGAGTAGTCTGATTGGTCATTGTTGCCTGCTGCTGATTACTGTGGACAAACAACTTTTGGCATTCCTCAACAGTGTGTCATCATTACCAGTACTTAGCTAAACATTTCAAGTTGGTTGATGCAGTAAAGCACCAACTCATTACAATAAATGAACAAGTTTTTAAAGATTTTCTTAGCGAAACAGAAGTAAATCGCCTTCTGACTTGCATTAAAAAAATTAAGCCTGAAAGGAGTTTTTTTTTTAAACATTATATTCTTATTTTTATAAATCACTTTAAAACATAAAGCTAGTATGTCAAATATATACATGTATTACAAAAAGTACTGTATACCTGGCATGAGCTGCCAGTTTTTGTCACAAGTCATCTTAAATCAGTAAAATTTGAAAAGGGCCAAATACTGGAAATTATTTTTAAAATAAATACTGTAATCCGAACGAGATTGAGAAGTAAACGAGCATCCAGTTGGATATGAAAGTAACTTGAAAGTTCATCCTAAAAATGTAGCATCAACTGCATAAATGGCACAGCTAAAACTAAACTAAAACAGACGAGATTCCCCAGACTTCAACACTTGCGAGTAACAAGACAAAGAAAACCCCAAAACTCCAGCCAGACTGAGACAATTCGTGCACTTCCAACACAAAACATCAATAAATCGGTCTTAAACTGGTTAAAATCATTCTGTATTAATATAACCCGTCCTATTTTTGACCCATCTGTAATATGAGACAGGAAAAACAGTCTGCAGATCACGTTCAGGGTAACGAAGGTGATTTGTTTACACCGAGCTAGCGCGGAGGCTAGTTCGCTAACAGGAGCTGCCACGTCCATTGGAAGCGACTAAACTCTTTTCAGACTGATTCTTTTTACTTTGACAGCTGTCCCCATCGAGCTGTCTGACTTTAAACGTGACAAACGACGTCCCAACGCTTGTGCCAATGTCTCGTAAAGGGAAAACAAAGCTGTACAAATTTAACTCCTGTGTTATTTTGACAGCTAGAATTAGCTGCTAACGGGCAGGTTACATTCAGGGAGGCGCTAACGCTGAGAAAGTACTGAGTGAGATCAAACAGGCTAAAATACGACGTAAAAGCAGCAGTAACAATTAGCAATGGGAAACACGAGTGTTGTTCTTCACCTGTTCTGGGTGTCTGAGGAGGGAACCGCGCTCTGGGTGATGTAAAACAGTTCACAGAGACAGTTGTAGTTTGATCCCAGCTCCTCCGCAGTCCGAGCGGTCGGTGACTGACTCGCTACTAGGGCTAGACTAGACTCACAAACGTTTTAGAGGAGGAGTTTAGTTTGTGACGTAACTCGCATGAGACGGAATATCCAATCAGATCGCTGAACGGAAAAATCTGACCAATCACTGACTACCAGGAACAGCACGGCTAATGTTTTGTAGTTTTTAATCAAAAGAAGTTTATGGTAGCAATAATCTTAAATTATTGCGCAATCCTTCATGTGGAACGAATATATTTGCTAGATTTTTTTTTTTTTTTCTGAGACGGAAACCTTTATGCGTTGAAACGGGTACACTAAAAGTACTGCTGAGTTGTTAACACCATTAAAAACTTTTTTTTTAAAATATGTAACTTTTTTCTGTTTTTATATACTTTTATTTTGTCGTACGTTTTTGCAAACTAACTACTTTTGCAATTTGTTTATCAAAACGTCCAGCTATGGCAAGTGTTTTTTTTAATTTTTTTTATTTTAACAAAATTTTATTTACCGGTATCTTAAAACATTGTCTCCATAGAAAAACTTTGAACTCTCAACAGTTCCTTCAAAAACATTGTTCTCTTGTGGATCACCTTCAGTATACTTGCTCATGTTTAAACTTCTTAAGCTACAAACCGGATTCCAAAAAAGTTGGGACACTAAACAAATTGTGAATAAAAACTGAATGCAATGATGTGGAGGTGCCAACATCTAATATTTTATTCAGAATAGAACACAAATCACAGATCATCTGCCTCTTGGCTCAAAAGGTGCACCCATAACGATTTTCATGCCAGAAGAGACATGAACCCACACCCAGACAAGGTGTAATTATATTTGGGTCTGGTTGTACGATTGTGCAAATATGACTGATGCACTGTGCAGCTGGGTGTGTTGCTAAACTCTGCTTAGCTCAGCAAAGTTTAATTGAGCTGGTTGATCAGGTCCTCTATCTTGCCAGTAAACAGGTTCAACAACTATTTCAACAAGTGCATCACTGTTTTCAGGAAAATACTCTGAAAACTATCTGATAGAAGCAATTTTAGATAAAAAAAAAAAAAAGATATCTTCTTTGCTGACAACATGATGATATCATTTGTATCATGTGTCAGTTTGCCATTGGGGGATGTGTGACACCACAAGACTTTGACCTCATCACTGCTGTGCGATGCTCATTGCTTGCTTTACACTGCACATTATTACCTTTCAGCTAAAAAACTGTAAGGCTAAAATAAGGCCTTAACTGCCTGTAATAAACAGTTTTACAAATACTGAGTTACTATATACTACATTAGTAGCTGAGACTAATCAACACATATAGCTCAAACTGATTGCACAGTCTTTGTCAAAAAGTTTGTCATTTGGAGTCAAATCTGACTGTTAGCAAAATATCTCACAAACCACTGCTTGGATTTTAATTAAACTTTCAGCATATATTTGTTGAATGTTCCTTCAAGGCTGGTTAACCTTTGGAGTTCAATCAATTTAAGATGGCTGCCACAGCTAATCTACTCATAATTCAGCCAGTGGTGTAGAAGTAGCTGAGGGTCATCAGCACATAACTCAAACAGTAAAAGATCACAAGATCGTGTAATATCACATCAGACTATACAAAACAATTTATGGCTACCTCTGCCCCTTCTCATCACAAGACAGACGTCTAAAACTCGTGTAAGACAGCGGGCGATATGCATTCCTTTAAGGAACGGTACGCCTTTATTTGATAACCTATATTTTTCCTTTGAAGCAGTTAAGCACTACTTAATATATAGTTGCATAACCTGTGCTGTTGCGTGAATAAACTGTAGAAGAAAAGCATCAAACAGATAAACATGTAACGTTTCCTAACAGCAGGTTTAGCGTTTGCTTATCAGTCGATGTTGAGCTCATCCATTCCTCTTCTCCTTGACAGAGTCCATGCTCGTGGCTCCGTCTACATCTGATAAGTGTTTTGAGGCCCTGCATGTACCATGACTGCAACGTTAATATTTATCAACAGGAGGCTGAACTGTACACAAAAATATGACTCTAAAAACAGTCAGCATTGGCATGAAAATGTCTTGTTTTGCTGATTTTATCGGTTTGAAAACGCTGCTAATAAGACGTCTTTTTTTACACAAACATACACGATGTTTTTATTCAAAACTTCATGTTTTCTTTTATTAAAAAAAAAAAGAGATTCCTTATGGAAGAGTCCTTTAGCCCCACAGACGACCTCTGAACCTGCTGAGGAAACACTTTGTTTAAATGACCTGATTTCTTACTGCATGACATTCTCACAACTAATCCTGAATTTAAATGCTTTATTTCTGTGTGTATATTCATGTTTGCCGCCCCCTTCGCCCATTTAAATGATGTGTTGTTGCAGCTGTAGGTGCTCACCGCACTTTGCTCTTCAGTAATACTGTTACAAAATGCTCAATTATGATAAAATGGATTCAGACGGTCTTTAAACTTGCTCTTTCGGAACAAAGTGGAGTCATTTGTTCAACATTACCTTTAAAATCCTGTTTAATGCTGAGATTCCTCCTGGTGCTCAGAATGCTTTAATAGTGTTATAAAATGTTTAGTTAATTTTAGCTTTTAGCTACAATTCAGCTGGTTTTGCCTGCTTTAGCTTTTAGTTATGTTTTTTGTTAATGTTACTGTTCAGGATGTTTTAGCTAATAGTAACTCTGCTTTTCTGATCATTTTAGCTTTCAGCTGCTAGTTTTAATTCTTAGATAGTTTTATTAAAATTACCAGCTTTTAGAGCATCTGGCTAATATTAACTTTTAGGAAAGTTTAGCTGATCATTTTAGCAACGCTTAGTAATTTAAACTTTTAGCTACTGTTCTGCAATGGTTGAGCTGTTTTTAGCTTTTAGTTAGCGTTTTGCTCACTTGCTTTTAGCTTGTTTTTTTAGCTACCATATTGCTTGTTTTAGCTTTTAGCCACAGTTATCCTGGTGTTATCATTTGTTTAGCTTTTAACTATCGTATTTGCTTCTTTTAGCTTTAGTCTAGCTAATTTTGTTCGGGTAGTTTTGACTGTAAAAACTCAATTTCAGCTTCTTCGACATTTAGCTGTCATTCAGCGCTCAGCATTCACATCTTTTCTAGTTAATTATGTTTTCTATTAACGTATTTTTCAGATTATAAGGCGCAATATCAATTAACGGGTCTGCTTTCATACATAAGGCGCATTAAGCAAAACAAACCAGTCAGATATGTCAAACTTTATTCAACTCATTCACAATAACCACATAAAATCAGTTCGAGGTCAGTGATCAATCAGAATACAAGATGCACCTGATATAAGGCTCATTGTCGATTTGTGAGAAAATTAAAGGATTTTAAGTGCGCCTTATAGTCCGAAAAATATGGTAGTTCTTTTTTATAAGCTGTAAATTTTTTTCAGTCAATTATATGTATGTATTATTTTTTAAGTGTATAAAAATTCCCATTTTGAACACTTGCTGTTGATTGTTTTTTTTACTATATATATATATATACACACACAATTTATATAGTATTTTTACCCCCGCTTTTACAGAGACCCATGTTGTGAAAGGAGATGTACGTGGAATTTTCCACCGGCTGTTCTGTCCATAAGGTGTGTGACAGAAACTGTGCTGCCAAGATCATTTTATCCTTGCAGCATCCGCAGGTTAGGACAGGCAGGCCACACCTGAAATGACATTCATGACTTGAGTTTGTGCTCATTGACAGACATTTGCATGTTAAACGTATAGGTTAAGAAGAAACTTTCTATTCCAGAGTATTTTACTGTTAATGCTAATGATATAAAAAGTGGTTCCAATAATTATTTCAAAGTTCAGATCTAATCATAAAACACCAGGGGAAGACAGCCTCACACATAAGCTCATAAGAAACAGGCGACAAAGTGAAAAAAATTCAATCAAAGTCATGAAAAGGGCCACACCTCATTCTTTAGTCCTTTAAAGTTGTCGCTCTGAAAGGGAAAATAATTTATCGTACTGAGAACAGTCTGTTAAAAGTCCTGGATCTGTCAAGTGCATCATTATCTCTGTTGAGTAATACCTGAGGTGCAGAGGAGATGTTTTATGACGTCTGCATGAATGCTCTGTCTTCTGACTTGCACGTATTTGCAGGCGTAAAAACTTTTATTCTTAAGATGATCTTACTGTGGTCTTACTTTTTTTGCAGATTTACAAATAAATTTAAAAAACATGAAGGGAAAAAACTTTCCATCCAGTGATCTGTGCACTATTTTTAGCTTGTTGAATCCAGGGCAAGTCAATAAACAGGTTTACAAGATGTCAATTAAACTGAAAAATAAATAAATAAATGGCAGCACTGACGCAGAAACTGACCTTCCATATCTCGGTGCATTTACCACATCTGCAGAACCATCCCGGGAAGATACTCAACCACCCATTCTGCTTGTAGAAAGCACTCGGATGGCTGAGCTTCTAGAAAAGTGGCTGAGCATTTGTTTGACTTGAGCTCTGTTTGAACTGAAAACACGGAGCAGCTGACTCTGAAACAAGCATCGTTTGGGTGTTAAATAAGAACAAGCAGGTTCCACACTTTAACTAATCCTGAAACAAAAAAAAACTTGCCTGTGGAGGACCTAAATACAAACAGCTGGCGGCTAACCTGCTAATACCATGATGCCATTGTAGTTTGCTTCTGGTTTTATGTACATTGGAAACAGCAGTTTTACATGATAAATGGTCCATTAAGAGGCGCAGAGCGGCAGAAGTCCTCTCTCCTGCTCCTACATGGTTGTAGAGAAAACGTCTCATGTCTCAATGTCAAAATCAAATGAAACAACGGAGCAAAACGTGGAAGATAAACTCTTAGTCGTCCAGCTATAAGAAAAATAATGCCACTAAACTGTTTATATGAGATTTAAACACATTAATACAGTTTGATGTTGTTGGCAAGTTTGGAAACAAAGAAATAAGCGGCTCCAACGCTTGTTCATTTTGAGCAAAAGCAGCTTTAAATTTTTTGTTTGTTTGTTTTTGTTTGCTTGTTGGTGCCAGAAAATGGCTCAGGAAAA